TCAGACCCGGGCCGGGGAGCCGAGAGCCGCACCTCGCACGCCCATGGGCCAGGGTCGGGGAGCCCGCCGCTGGCCACTCTGCATGTGTCTCTGTGGTGGTCGCGTCCATCCTAAAGAACAGCTCGCCGTGCTCATCTGTGAAGCCTTATCCAACGTGGACGTGGTTTTCCGCCTTCCCAGGACTCCTTATTCAGTGCCGAAGTGGGCCCGGCTCAGGAACTGCGGGGCCTGGGCCGGCGCGGTCAGGCAGGAGCCGGGCCTGTTCCTTCGCCGGTCGGGGTTTTCGTCTGGCGTCTGTCAAAGCGGAGGGGACCGCCTGTTCGTCCGTCTCCTCAGTGGGCAGGGCTGGAGGGGACCGCCTGTCCACCTCTCTCCTCAGTGGGCAGGGCCGGGAGGTCATCGTCTTACTGCCCTCACGCTTCGTTTGAAATGTCAGAACTGTTCTATGTAAATATCGAAAACTTATGATTTGTGCAATAACTCAGATATTTTTTATTTAATTTCATATTTTCACATAAGTTATATTGAAGGGAGGAGGGACTTTTTTAAACAGCTTAGATCCTTTCCCGAGCTGCATTTTCTAAGTTGGGTTCATCGTGTCGGCTGGTTGTCTGCTGAGCATCGTTACAAACTCGTGGTGATGAGGGCTTCGGGGCTTCGTTCCCATGTCTTTTCTTTTGGTCAGGTGGAGTGAAGGGGCCGCATTACCTTGCCGGTTTCCTGGGGGCTCAGCTCTACAGCCATCTGACAGACAGACAGACAGACGGCCTGCCCGACAGCCCTGCCCGGGGCCCTAGGCCGTTGTCCTCTCTGACCACTGAGTTTTAATGTTTTGGTTCTTTTAAACTAGACAACAAATCCAGCATTTAAAGTGCCAGAAGTGTAACTTTCTAGGGGAGAAAAGTTGTCAAGTTATGGAATCTTTAAGAAACAAGGGAGCTCGGACATGCGTCAGTCAGTGTCAGTAACATAGCCTGGAGTGATGGGTCTGCTGAATATCGTGACGGACCATGGTGCCCAGTTTTAGGAATGTGGAGAAAGGAATTACGTTGATTCCGTGGAGGAATCTGAATCGCAGTATGCCTTCGTTCTGTTAAGAGCAAACATAGGAGAAGTTCTTCAGCCGCTCCGTGCACGGGGGTGGAGTGCACTGCAGAGAGCACAGCGCGGCGCCGGGAGGCCGCGCCCGCGAGCGTACTGGTCTACTATGCAAGCGTGTTCTGCCACCACAGCCACTGTCTTTGTTACCTTTTTTGAACAAGAATATATCCATCCTGCCCAACCCTGAGTTTTTGGAGCACCACAGTTGTCCTGGGAGGTGGTCGGTTGGATCCGGTGGCCCGTCTGACCTCCCGTTTTTAATATGGGGGCTCTGGCCCCGCTCAGCACTACAGGGAGGTTGGTCGTGAAGTCCACTAGTGGAGAATGTCGAGGTGAGACGCTTATTCCCATGACTCCTGGTGGACGTGCAGCAGCGGGAGTTCTAGGTTGACGTCTGAATGTGCCGGACACCAGCAAGGACAGGCTCCAAGGTGCCTGTGTCTGCCTCTCTGCGTCGGGAGGTGCTGGCTGCAGCCGCAGGCTCTGGGAGGCTTCCGGGATGGGTCCGCATTGTGTCTGCAGTTCTTGGTGACCGAGAGTTATCAGAAGTATTTAAAAATATTTAAATCGTGAACCTATTGATAAAGAATATTTATAAAACTGATCTGTAGGCCTGTACTAATCTCTACGCATTAGCAATATGACTGTAAAGCCACATCAGGGATACCCTCGCGGGCCGGCGGCGTGCCCCGCGGGGCGCCTCCCAGCTTGCTGCATAGGACAGGCGTCACGCTGGAGTCCGTCATGGTGACCCGGATGAATTGGCCTGGCTACCACTGTGGTTGCACGCTGCAGGTTTGGCAAAGAGGTATCATGTTTCGATTTGTGTGTGGACAACAATGTGGAAGCTAAAATGGACATATTTTTATGTAAAGTTTTTCTATTCTTTGATTTTTAATAAACTTTGGAAACCAGCTTTGTATTTGTATTTGAATATGTTTTCCTTTCTGGTGGGGAAGGGTGCTGCTGCCTTTTCAGTTTTAATCCGTTAGGGCATGATTTAGCCATTTCCTGGTCCAAATGGGATTTACAGAGAGGCAGATCCCAGTCCTATAGAGCAATTTGGTGGGGAGGGAGGGAAGGAGCGGAATGTTTCTCATCAGGTCGTCAACTCTGGTCCAGTTCCCAGGCTTTCAGCCAGGTCTGGGAGAGAGAAGTAACTGAAACTAGTTCTTGTTCTCACATTCTGATGCAAACAGGGACTCAGTAAAACCACTTAAATGATACTCTGTGAGTTTCTGACCAGCTGATGTGTGCTAATTGTGTGTAGACCTCTCATGGAAAGAGTTTTGTTTTTTTTTGTTTTTTGGAATTTTTATTTAACTTTGTGTATTTGTTTATTGTTAATTTGACCAAAGAGGGACAGAGAGAGAGAAAGTGAGAAAGCAAGCCACCTGGTCCAGGTCTTGAACTGTGGCTGGGGCCATGTGGGGAGTCCTGCACCCTTAACCGATACACCACCTGTCAGCCCCAAGAGTTGTTTCTTCTATATTTTTTTAGGTCACCATTAATTACATCATGTGAAAACAACACATTTCAAACCACTTGATAGTCTTAAAGCAGCTTAAAATGTAATTTAAGTTTGTGATTTTTATTTTAGAGAGATTTTTGCTATAGGGTGTGCACACTTGCAGGAGAGTCAGAGAAAGTGAGAAATTACCCACCGGGGGGGAATCTCCTCATGGGATTTTGGGCACTCACACACCTGCACTTGCTGTAAGTTTCAAGCTGCTGGGTCCAGGACTTGAACCACTGTTGGCCATGTAGGAATCCAGTGCCTTAGCCTCTGTGCCACCTGCTGGCCCCTGCTTTTGTGATTCATAAGGTTCCTTATAATCCAGGGGGAGAACTGCTATCCCTGTGCAAGGCCACGTGACCCCAGCTGTGTTCTGGAAGCACTGTCACTGTGGCGCTGTGCACTATGGGAAGGTGGGTGGGGCAGGAAACCGGAGCGCCACTCTCCCTCCCACCCAGTTCTCGCTTGTGCTCTGAGCAAGTGCTGCCCACCATGCCCCCGCCGGCCACGAGCACAGCCCTGTTCTTTTTTGTTTTTAAACATTTATTTATGTATATTTTCCCCACAAACATTTACTTTATGTATCAAAAAGTTTTTGCTCATACTTAATAGTTCTTGACAACTAACAACTTTCAAAATTTCAAGAAACTGAATTTAAAGGTAATTATTAAAATATTTGTTATAATTTTGTTTGTGACTATAACAGAGACAGTATGGTATTAAATATTTTTGAGAAAATAATGTACATGTCAGCTACTCAGACTGTTGAAAAGCAAACGCTTAGCACACAAGTCACACATGAGCCTTCTCAGTGCAGCCCTGCCTGCCAAGTGTTCTGTCATAGACTGTCTACTAGCAAGGACCAGTCTCTTTTTCTTCCTTCATTGTCTTCCTCAAGGTAAACCTCTGGTTGGGGCTGCTCTTTTGCAATCTCTACTGACTACAACGCTGGACTGGAAAAGTCCAGGTTATTTTATGGTACAAGTTTTTTCATATAGATTCTTTCTCTCTCTCTCTCTTTTTTTTTTTTTTTTT